GTAGTAGTAGTAGTAGTAGTAGTAGTAGTAGTAGTAGTAGTAGTAGTAGTAGTTTCCCTTGGGTTTTTTCCCTAACATTTGGGATTTTGTTAGTCTTTGTTCTTTTGGGTCCTCTTGTATGTTGCTTTCGTTTGTTTGTTTGTCTGTTTGTTTGTCTGGTTTATAGTTTTAGTTGTTAAAGGGGTGGGGGTGTTGATATAGTGGAGTGTTGTTGTTGTTTGTTGTTGTTGTTTTTTTTGGGGGGTATGGTTTGATTTTCTATGTTTCTTTTAGTGGCGAGATGTTTGGGTGAAGGGGGGGGGGGTTCTTTCGTGGTGTGTTTATAATTCACCGATGTTGGCTGCGTCTGTTTACAGATGGGTAAAATTATAGTAAGATAGAGACGTTGTCTCTTAACCCTATCCGTACGCCCTGGTGTCATTTTGTACCCCCGGGGTTGTATTCTTCACATTTTAGAATATTTCTAGAACGCAGACCTCTTTAAAGCTTTCAGTATTTCTCAAAAAATCATTTTGACAGACTGCTATGCAAAGCGTACGGACCGAATTAACAAGTAAATTTCCTCTTTGGAAAGTGGCGGCACAGACTTCCCCACGTCGTATTAATACGTTAGTAAAAGCACGACGTACGGATAGGGTTAAAGGTATGATTTACAGTGTTTCTATATCATCATCTTGTTTTCCTATTTTAACAGAGAACTCATTCGATGTGACAATATTTCCCTTGCCCTGCCTGTTCATCATATGTTACTGTCTCCATACCCCCCTCACTTCCTCCTGTGTATGTTCAGTGGACTACGGCTCTTATTTCGACTACTACAAGTCCTGGGACGACGCAGTGAAATCGAACCCGGACCACCCGATACTTGTCGTTTCTTACGAGGACATGAAGGAGGTATGGACGCCTAATAACGCAAAACAAACAACCACCCAGCCTACGTGCTCTTCTTTTCTTATTGAATCTTCAGCGCCGCCCCCCCCCCCAAAAAAAAACAGAGAAAAAAAAAGAAAGAAAAACGCATAAATTGTTTCATCATCATCATTGTTCGGAAAGTAGAGTAGGAGAGAGAGTCTCGTATGAATTTCAGACAAAATAATATAAAATATAAAATGTTTAAAATTTGTGAGGCATCATGGTGAAATCGGGCGCTCGTCAAAATAATTAAATCGAAGAAACGCATTTTTCCCCCAGTTTGGCAATTTTTATCGAATTTTTGTTTTTTGGCTCAACACCTTTTATGTCCATATTAAAAATACATTTCCATGTAAATTTCACTTAAAAACGTTGATTAATGGCACAAAATATGTAGGTTTTCAGATCTCAATGTCTCTCAAGCTATAAACATTACAAACTTTTGGCTGCCATTTTCTCCTTAATTTTACCTTTGGAACCATGCTACCCCCACCTTCTTCCATTGAAAATATTTTAACTTCTATTTAAGATAGATGGATTGCTTTTTTTAAAATAGAAAGCAAGGCAAATGAATATCTTTCGGATGATACCAATAACTCCACATGCCCAAAAACTGACAAGCGCCTGATTCCACCACGTCGTGGCACTTTTGTTTAATAGACACAGCTCAACATCTCGCCTCGTGAGCTTCCTCAGGGGCAACAGAGAGAAAAACTAAATGGGCGCTGTATACTAACAGGGAGAAGGGCCAATATATAAAGAGGGTCTTAAGATTACGTGCGGTTACAAGCTAGACGGAAGTGCCCCAGAGCTAGCCAGGCCAAGGGGCTAATTATAAAGAAATTAATGCTAGTCAAGCAAAGGTATCAAAGAATATTTTATATCTTCTAACTCTAAGAGAGGCTGACAGGATGTTAATTGTGTGAACGTGGGATGAACAAGGGAAATGTTGGGGCGTATTTAAAAGAGGCAACCCAGTTGGGGGCAAAAGGAGGGAGACAGAGGAAGGGTGTGTGTGTGTGTGCGTGTGTGTGTGTGTGTGT